CTGAGCACACGGGCTGAAGGTTGAGAATATGACTCTTAAAACAAATGAAACACGGCACCCTAAAAATACACAGTAAAGAGTGGGTGAGAGTAAACACAGACATTACTCAGACAGAACGGGTGTGGGGAGGGCTGGGGAGGGCGAGGGGGGGAGGGGAAAGGTGCTGACATGGGTGAGGGTGGATAGAGGAGTCACGTGGTGAGTGAGCTTGGATTAAAAGAAGGAGGGTTTTTCAGAACAGAGTAACTGAAGGCATGCAGCGGTTTGGCGAATGGAAGGTGTAGATCTGGAGGAGGAGGGGGAGGTATGGGAGGGTGGGGTTAAGAAGATATATTATGTGGTATCAGGGTTTGTCCAAGGCATGAGCCCTATCTTTCACATGGCCACCCAGCTGTCTAAACAGCCCGTGACTGGTTGCTGGCTAAAGGGTCCGGCCAATGGGAGGGGGGAGATGTAGCAGAAGGTGGAGCGAGTGAACAGTTGAGTCAGCTTCAGGATGTGCAGAGAGCCAGAGTGACACAATGAAGACTAGGCACACAGGTCAAGAGTTAAACTCATCTTCCTCACTCCCTCCCTTTCACTTTGACTCTCCTCCCTCTCAGATTTTCAAATTTGAAAATTTGCTTTATTAGTATGTTATGAAATGTTTGGCAGAAACACGATTTGCAGGGTGGGTGAAATTATTCTTTCACACACATGAGTGTAATCCGCACACAAACTGAATAACAACTTTGTGCCTCTGTAAGTAAGAAACGGTGAGTGTCTCAGCATGGATGTGTATTAAATCACCGTTGTGAAAACAAGCAATGAAACAGTTCAGCACAAAAAAACCTGAGAAAGAGACACGGAGAGAGACAGAAAGAAACAGAGCGAGAGAGAGAGAGGTGTCTAGTTTCAGATTTACAGTGGTGGTGGTGGGCGAGATTTGGCCATGCTCTTACAGCACACAGAGGACACAGCCAGAGGAGGAGGAGGACAGATTTACATGGTGAGAACAGCTATGGCTGCTCTGGAGCGGCCATAGCTCCAGAGCAGCTCCAGAGCAGCTTAAAAACTAATATATGGAAGCCATCACCGTCTAAAAATACAACCAAGAAATGTCACCCTCAGAAGTGTGACTTGATGAAATGTGTGATTTCTTAACTGACATGAAACAAAGTATGTTCCTTTCAGGGTTCCCTCTTACATTTACTGCAGTATTATGTTGATTTGCGGACCCCTAATCCGTTAGGATTAAGTGTCGAGATGCTCTTTCTGTGGGGGCCGAGCGACTGTTCATTTACTCAGCACAAACTCCGCATTGATTTCACAAATACTTCAAAATGCGTTAATGAAATTCACGGCACAGTTATACAATCGCTGAAAAACCACCTTCTTCGACTGAGCATCCAGACTTTGTGGAAAGGATTTGGTTTAACACTCAGTTTGTATCTACTAAAACGCCGACTATTTACTTCCATAAACATTTAGTCACACCACAAACTATCATTAATTTCACCCTGTGTAACCAGTAATAACAGAGCAGAGCAGGAAATGAACCATTATGAGTGTCTGTGTGAAGGTCTGTCCTGTCTCACACAAAGTTGGGATAAACCCTTGTAGGTGTGTGTGTGTGTGTGTGTGTGTGTGTGTGTGTGTGTGTGTGTGTGTGTGTGTGTGTGTGTGTGTGTGTGTGTGTGTGTGTGTGTGTGTGTGTGTGTGTGTGTGCCTCTTTTGGGGTTTTACTCCTTATTTAAGACCAATATTTACAAAGTAGCCCCAGGGTGAGATTACCTCATATTCTCCCGCCCAGCTGTGCTTTCTCAGCGTTTCCACCACAACCAGAGGAATGTCCCATCATGTTTATCTGCGTGCCAGGAAAACACAGAAAGAGAGGAAGAAGAGGCAGCAGAGGGAGATGGAGAAGTATGCTTAGGTTGGAGTGTGTATACATGACAGACACTTGTACATTCACACTCTTGGGTATGGAATAATCACACAAGAATGCATAAAAAACTTTAAATAAAAAAAAACTTGTGAGCATGCTCTTGATGTCAGTGTTAACTCAACCAGGAGGACATTCAACATCCTACTGGAGGATTAGCTGTGTTAATCACACTCTTGGTGTTCTACTTTCATGAGAAAAGTCTAAATGCCCACTATGGATTCAAGGTGGGTAAGGTTAAAGTGAACTTAAAATCTATGACAAATATTTATTTTTTATATTCTGCTAGTAAGATGGGAAATATGTGTAGCAATTTTTTTATAAACATTTTATAAATTTTATAAACAAAATTGGAGTTGCTACAATTCTAACAAGCTTAGAAGTCCATATTTGATACGAACACCTTTATTCTTCAACACAGTCTGAACTCTCTTAGGAAAGCGTCCCTTTAAGTAGTCTTCAGGAATAGTTTTCCAGGCTCCTTGAAGGACCTTCAAAGCTCTTCTTTGGATGTTTGATGCCTTTTTTTATGTTCTCTGTCAAGATGATCGCACACCATCAGTAATGTTGAGGTCTGAGCTGTGGGGAGCCTAATCCATGACTAATAGTTTTCCAGTGGGTGTTTTTATTTCCAGGTATGCTTTTACTGTACTGTCAGTGTGTTTAGGATCATTGTCATGATGAAAAATGAAACTATAGCTAGTCAGATGCTTTTGATATGGTATTGCATGGTGGATCAAACCTGATCTCTAAGTGCAACCCCAAACCATGACAGAGCCTCCACTGTGGTTTACAGATGGCTGTAGACACTCCCGTTTGTACCTCTCTCACGACCTCCTCCTGACTTACTGACAAGGATTTGTATAAATAATTTCAAGTTTGTAATCATCACTCCATGAGACCTGTTGTCACTGATTGATAACGTGTCTAATGAGGCTTCAGCAAACAATACTTTCTTAACTGTATGAATTTCAGAAACTGTTCATCTGCTGCTGAAGAAGTTTTAAGCCGGCCACATCTTCTTGTGTTCTTCTTTTGCTCTTTGGGAATCAACTTGTTGCTCAAAAAATACAAATTGTGTTATCTTTGGCATTTCTATGTAGATTCAACTAACGAAATTGGAACAAAGTATGTGTTTTTGCAAGAGACTGCTAGTGACAAAGGATACAATTTAAAATTGGCTCTCTGCTATGTTGTCTGTTATGTACAGACACAACACGGATTCTTCCTTGAGTTAGATGCCTTTTATGCTTCAGTGACTCTTAAATCAGTGTTAAATAGTTAAAACAATAAAACACGCAAACAAACATTCATCAGAAAAAGTGGACAGAAGAGAAAATTAGTGGGAATAAAATAGTGAATGTCCAAAGAAAAACTTTGAAAGTCCACTTTAAGAAATCAGAAGAAAGTCTGGCTTCTTGGAAGAAAAATATAAAAAAAGAGGGGCAGCTTGAGGTCTTTCAGACATAATCAGTGCTCAGCGATACTCCTGAGATGCAATTCTGGGATCCAGAATAAAACCCAACTTTCCAAGATGGACAAAGAAAAGAAAACTAATTAAAGATTAGCTCATTTTCAGATGATTCATAAAACATCTTATGAATGTTAGGCTGATATAAGAAATGTCGCTGGAACAGCTTGTCAGCATATGAGTTTGCTGCAAAAACACCGGCAAAGCTGAATTCAGCAACTTTCAGACCAGCGCATTCACTTCCCGACACCACAATAATTCCTGTTGCTAAATATGCACATGCAGGTGACCCTTTCTGCTGGCAATTCATTTATGAGGTAAAAGGTAAAACAGCAAATGGACTGTACTTATATAGCACTTTTCTACTCAGCTGGATCTGAATTTATGCTCTTGGTCTTTGTGGCTGGTTAAGGTAATATCACATTAAGCTGGAAAATTTTAAATGATCAAGAAAAATAAAATAAGGGATTGATGCGCCGTTCAAGTGAACGCTCAGATAATGTCAGTGAAAAACACTCTAAACTCACAGAAGTAGGAGTAGAGTAAAATAATGATTTTACTCTTGGAATTTGGGTTATTGCTGTGAATTTATTTAGGTTAGCTGAATACAGTCTGACAAAAATCATTATTTTTAGATCATAAACACAGCAAGGAGCCTCTGGCTTTAAAGCCTCCATCCTTTTGTCCACCCTTATACCTCCATATCTCCAGGGTTTCTCCTATAACCCTGAGATATTCAAGATATGCTAAGGTAACGTGAATGAGTAAGTATAAAACTGATCTGCAACTTTTAAAATGCCAAAAATGCTGTGATTAAATCAAAGTCATAATGTTATCAATACAGGCATAAAAGGTGTCTGTATAAGTTACAAACCACAAGTGTGCAGTGCAGTAACCTGATGAGTTTATTGGAATTACCTTGCCTTAAAGTGCATTATTTTCTGAGAGTGCAGTGTTTTAGGCTGAGCAGTGGCTCTCTTGTTGGTCCCTGCAGTGTGGACACTGTCCTGCCATGGGAACGGACAGTTATTTGCTTTAATTTGCAACAGAAAAGCTTGTGGTGTGTAGTGACTGTTAGAGAATGTTCTGTTTGGCCTTCTCCTGGCTGGTTTAAGTGATAAAAGTGTCATTATTTAGCCTCTGAGGCAGAGGAGAGAGTGCAAACAAGACTGCATGACCCTCTGTTAAGAGCCCTCGTTCTTCAGATGCTCATTAAAGGCCTCCAGGAGGACAGTGCATCAACTGGCAGGGCCGTCGAGCTTGCCTTTTTTAAAAAAAATAAAAGTCTTTCTCATCCCAGTCACCGGTCGACTGACGGCAAAAATGGGCTCAATTAAGAGCAAGAGGGACATGAAAGATGTCGCGCTGTGAGGTGGTATAGGCGACTTATTAAAACAGCAGGAAGAAGCTCTTGGACTTGGGCCCAATAGGATCTAACCCCGTAGCGCACTGACCGGATTTGGAGAAAGTTGGATTTATCTGATTGGGCGCTTTGGATTCTGTGTCTGGTGAACGACTTTAGTCCGTCTGAGCGCTCTGATTGGAGTCAGTTTCTTAACAGAAAAACAAAAGAGAGACTTTCTCTCAAACTGCAGCGCATTGAAGATGGAAATGCAGGGCCGATTTATTGACTCCACGGTGATGAACATTAATGTTATGGAGTATCCCCACAAATATGCTTTAGCACCAAAGCAGCAGGTGGATGCTGCTCCATCCTGTCCAATCAGCCAAAGGCAGTTAAACGAGCCTTCCTGGAGCCGGGAAGCGGAGGACGGTGTGCGCACTGCTCAGGTGGCGATGTGCTCGCCGAGATACTACAGCCGCGGGGCCCGGGGGAACACGAAGGCCAAGCGGAGGAGGATCATCACGGTGGTCCAGCGGCAGGCGGCCAATGTGCGGGAGAGAAAGCGAATGTTCAGTCTGAATGAGGCGTTTGACGAACTAAGGAGAAAAGTTCCTACATTCGCATACGAGAAGAGGCTGTCCCGTATCGAGACGCTGCGTCTGGCCATCGTCTACATCTCCTTCATGATGGACCTGCTGGAGAACACCTGAGACACAACAGCTCAGCTTTATCTATGGCAGACTGAACTAGACTGAAGGCGCCACTCAACCCACCAATGACACGGACATAAATGAGCAGCTGACTTTCCGTGTATGGACCAACAAGAGGGATTCTATTAAGAAATGTCAGATTTTTTGTGGCTGTAAAAACACATACATCGTTGGAGAAAGCTCACTAGGTCAGTGAGAACCGAGATTTCATTAGTTGCATGTGAATCGATGTTGCTTGAAAATAAAAGTACCGCTATGGTCATGTTTGTGTTCTTTGCCTGGACTGCCACGACAAAGAAAGCAAAGTGAAATTTAATTTTGACTAACCTTACTAAAATTAATAAGACCATAATGTCTGCTTAAATGGACAGTTTACAGCCAGTGTTGGATCAAAACATATTTACACTGTCGCATTTAATAAATCCGTTAAGAGGAGATACACATGAATGTCAGCATCTTATGGTTGTTGTTATACAGCTCTGAAGCGGTGTGGTTTTCAGCACCGTGGAGAGCTACAGAGGCACGCGCCTCACCTGGCCACTTGAAGGGTGTGGCAAAAAAAAAAAAAAAAAGCAACTCGAGGTTTTCCTCACTCAGAAAGCGAGAGCACATGAATCATGATTGTTTTCTCCTTGATGGCCAAATATCCTCAAAAGAGTTTAAAAGTGGATCTAAATCACAAATCAAGGGCTCACGGCATGAAGCTGCAGATTATCTTTGTCACTAAGGTGTAAATTGAGTTATTCACGGAGGTGAGATGACGGTAAACTGAGTGACAAAAACACCACCCACACCAGATGCCCTCTTTCAGTCCTGGATTGATGGTAGAGGCAAAGCTGTTTAGCGCTGGGGGACCGTGTCTCCACAAGAGAGCGGGGCTGGGCCCTCTGTGGTCCTCTTGTGTCATCCTTCCTCATCAGAAGTGAGGCTTCTCGGTGGGCCATTCACACCACAGACTACCTCCAAGAAGTTGCCAGGTCTAGTTTCAACCACATGAAGACGTATTTTTAGTTTTTTGACTAGGATATTAGATCACAGCAGAGCAGGCCACGGAGCTGGGTAGTCATGTGTAGGTGTTTCGACTCTGTGTGAGCCAGTGAAGTGCTTTTTTCCTCTCTCCTCGGTCCATCTTTATCACGTCCGGTATTTGCGTTGTGCTCCAGCCGAACACCGCCTTTCAGCGTCCCTACTGTGAGCACGGATCCGCCCTGAGAGCTCCCTGTGACGGGCCGTCTTTTAAACCTGAGCCGCGGTGCCGAGATCCCTGCGGGAGTCAAACCCTTTAAGTGCATACCTCAACCGCGAGGCCGTTGACGGCAAAATAAACACACAGGTCTACTAGAACAGCGACCTCCTGCTGTGACAGCCTCATGTGTTTTTCAGTGGGCCTGATCGCTGCTCCCTTGTCAAACGCCTGCACAGAAACACTTTAATGTTTAAAACTAGAGGAAGAGTTCTGTTCTGTGTCATTGGCTTTGAATTGTTTTCAGCAAGAGGGGGAAAGCATGAAATTTCCACACACGATGACACAGCGGTAAAACTGCTGGGCGATTTCCATTTGTAAGTTTTATTGTCAGTGACGCAAACAGTGGATAGTCTGTGCAGCAAATTTGGAAAAACAACAAAACCTGCTATTCACACTTTAAAAAATCGAGCCTGAAACTAAATAATAAATAACACAAGAAAACAACAACAACAGGTCTTTATTTAACACTGAGCAAAAAAAAAGAGCCTGGACATTTAATGAGGTCTGCTCTAATTCAATGTAAAAAATAAAAAATAAAAAGTAAATAAAAAAAAAAAAAATTATTATTATTCTTATAACTCCGCATCTGTAATAAATGCGGTGTGTGTGTGTGGGGGGGGTGGCATTGTGCTTTTGGGGAAGAAATAATTTGGGGTGGAGCAGAGACAAATAATTTATCTCTATGACAGGTCTTAAAGTGCTTGCACAATGATCCAATAGCAAACACTGCCCCCACTACATCCTTCCAGTCTCGAATAAAAAACACTCCATCTCTTAATTCCTAATATTATAGCAAGAACTCTCTTTTTCTGCGGTATTATGTTACAGCCCTCCCCACCCAATCACAGCAAGCCCCAAAATCCTCCTGCCTGCTCCCCGTTATAAGAACTCGGGTCGTCCCAGTCTGGCAGACACCTCTCCCATTCTGTGGCGCACGAGATTTACCGTAATACCAGCTCACACACGCTCCTGTTACCTCTCGTGTTTGTTGATGTTGTGACCGCTTCAGTGGATTTGAGTCAGGGATTCGTGACTCTCTGACAGGACACAGAAAACCTTTCTGAAAAGACAATGCGGGAAGACGACTCCTCCCCAATGGATAGCGCTGGTAACAGTGAGGAGGAGACCGACCGACAGCTGCCGCGGAGAGGCGCGAGGAAGAGGCGGACGGCGCGGAGGAGCACGGACGAAGAGGAGGAAGCGGACGTGGAGAGCCCCGGTCCGGTGAAAAAGAAATGCAGGAAGAGCGGAGACGGAGGAGGAGGCAGCACCGGGAGCGGCGGCAGCGAGGCCAGCAGTAGCCCAGCGCGCTCATTTGACGACCTGCAGACGCAGCGCGTGATGGCCAACATCCGCGAGCGCCAAAGGACGCAGTCCCTCAACGAGGCATTCACGTCGTTACGTAAGATCATTCCCACCCTGCCGTCGGACAAACTCAGCAAGATCCAGACCCTGAAGCTGGCAGCGCGGTACATCGACTTCCTTTGCCAAGTTCTACAAAGCGACGAGCTGGACGCGCGAGGGACCAGCTGCAACTACGTGGCGCACGAGCGCCTGAGCTATGCGTTCTCAGTCTGGAGGATGGGGGGCGCGTGGTCCTTGTCGACTACGTCCCACTAGAAGGGCTGCTCTTGGTGGCACAGTACGGTAGGTTGAGCTCCTTTCACTTTTCATCCAGCAGGAACTCGAGCCGTGCCAAAATGTTCCGGTTATGCGCATTTTACGCACAGGCCCAAGATAAACAAACTAATGTATAATCCTCCAGTAGGTCGCTGTAGTTTTTCTGTCTCACTCTTTTAAACTTCCTCTAATATTAATTAGGCTTGATTAATTTCATTATGAAAGAGATGTCAACTACAACTTTATGCGCCAACAGACCAGAGTTATCGCTGTAAACATGGCATTCTCATATCATATTATAGCTACAAAGAAATAGACATAGCATTTCTTCCACGAAATCCAAGCTTCATGTTTATTTTCTTCACCTAAGCCCACAACCAGGTTTTGTCATTTACATACATGGCCAACACGCACCAACATCTTGTTTTCACTTGTTTTAACCAGAGTATTTCTTTCACAGATTACTCAGACTGAGGAACCAGTGGATCAGACAGACTAAAATAGGCCAAACACACCTGGGCCCCAGTCTCGGCTGCTGTGCTTCAGGCCTCAGAGGAAAGCAGCTTTTTTCATATTTCCCTTTGCACGGACTGAAATGTTTGCAAGGGAGCACTTAGGACAGACAGGACGGATATGAAGAAAGAAAGACCACTGCGACTATGAATGTTGTAAAGAAAAAAAACTGACAAACGGCTCCGTTTTGAAACACGAGAGAAAGATGACAGACCATTCCACATTCCCTGTGACACCGCATCACAGAAAATGAAGTATTTTGTATTTATTTTTCTACACAGGTCGGAAACTTCTTCCTCCCCCTATTTCAAATAACGGTTATTTATTTTTGCAGTATCACAGAATTCCAAATGGACCTAGAGTCTTTGCATTTTGAGTGTTGTAAATATTTGGTAATATCTTAAATAAAATTATGAAAGTATTGTACATTCTTCTGGTCTGGATATTCCTTGAAGGTCTAACTAGAGGCTGCGTCAAATAAATTTCATGCCCATCAGCTGAATTTAGAAGCCTCTGTTTTTACACAGAAGAATAAATGTCACTTTTTTAAAGAAATGTTTTTTATTTATTTATTTTTTTGTTAGGGGAAACATATTCAATTTTCATGGTCTTTGTACTTTGAGTCTTTGTAGAGAGCTTATTTTCTTGCTTGATGTTGAATCCCCATGTAACCAAACTACAGTGGAGCGGGGCAAAAGAAAACATCTCATTCCAGTGGCTTATTTCGTAGTGATTTCTTGAGCTTGGGGATCTGGGAAAGCCATAATTAGCCAATGGTCTGTTTGAACAAGGTGAATCTGGAGCTGTGGGGGGCATGCATGATATTCCCAGATGTCCACTGAGCTGCAGGTCAGCATGGGAGTCTCCTGCAGGTGCTGCAGCAGTTATACCCAGAGAGGCTTGACAGATTGATGGGGTGGAGAGAAGTGAAAATGCAAACAGAATAGGCTGGATGGAATTTACAAATACCAACAAGTTATAGTCCACATAAAACACATTGGATTATCAGAGTATTTCTTCTTAACAACAAAACAGCTGATAAAATTGGCCCAAACTGTAAACGGGATTAATTAATAAAACTCCATGTAGCTGTTAAATAACAAAAGCCAAAAAACAAACAAACAAATTGCAAATTATGTGAAAAGGAATAATCGTGGGTTTTTTAAATTATTTTTATTATATTTTTTGGATGGTTTACCACAAGTTTGGACAGAAATAATCTTTCCACCTAAATGCTGAATGTGATATGTCCAAATACCAAATCAGCATCTGGGCTGTTACACACCATTAAAGTCAAGAAGGGAAGGACTAGATTATATTAAGACAAGAAGACTACATGGGAAGTATCTCATTGGCTGATGCTATATCTACCAAATATAAGTCCTGACTGAATGCTTCAAGGCTACAATTTCCCATAAAATAAAGTAGGATTAGGCTATTTTATGAGTGCAACAGGAATATCACTTTGAGATGAAACACACCGATGTCATTCATGACTCACTTAAGGGAGTTCTCTATCTCTCTGTAGGGTTGTTAAGAGATGATGATGGGAGCATCGCTGTGTTTTTGTATCACGGGTTGCGTGCGGAAGGTAAAGCCATCTGCGCTGACCCAAAGCCCTCGCCAGCCACCGGGGGGAATCGATTCCCACCCTTAGATCACCGTGG